CAGACTTCTTAGCCCTATCAGTTGTAAATGCCTTATCAGGCCTATCATCATTTCGTATGTAGTGATACGGAACTGCTGAGCCAGCAGAGTTAGGATTCTTTGAAATCTTAGCCATCCTGATAACTTCGACTAGCGCAGAGTTGATTCTTGGCTGCTCAGCCATTTTGGCCGGGATCTGTCCCCGACATTTCCCACAGGTCCTCTTCCCATTCTGAATCCACTTCTGGAAGCATTTCAAGCAGAAGTTATGGCCACAGGGTGTCTGCAAAAGAAAAGTATATATAGATTAGAATTGGCACAAGCAATTATTGAGTGAAATGGTTAATCATCTCCTAAAGAGTAAAGACTAAAGAGACTACCAATATGTTACCAATTAAAGAACGGCAAAACCGTTACAAACATACTCCGTACAGCAACCGTTACAAACATACAGACAATGCATGATCCGTGATATCTGGTAAGTTTCAGTAAATTAACACTTACCAATTAAGGAACATAGCAAATAAACATTATGCAGGTGCTTCACGAAGGGTAAAAAATCTGATTGAAAAACAAGGATATACAGTGCAGAATAAAAGTGTATCGATACAGGTTTATATCTGAACAAATAAAGAAAATGAGAATATATTGTAAGAGTTTTTTTTTTTGCTTTGTTTTATTTTATTTAAAAAGACAGCAGGAGCACTAGGACTCAAAAGTATAGCAATACAGGAATATCTGAAATAAATAAATAATAATAACGAAAAATAGATGCAAGAACACAGAGAAGGAGCGTTGGGTTATTTTATCTTTATTTTGTTATTTTTGTAAATAAAAAAATCAGCAGGACCACTGGGACTCAAAAATGTAGCGGTACAGGTTCATAACTGAAATGAATAAGGACGAAAGTAGACGGCATGAACATATAGAGGAGGCTTGGGTTGTTTTTAATTATTTTTCATTTTTAATTAAAAAAACAAAATCCGCGGCACTGGGACTAAAAAGTGTAGTAGGAATACAGGTTGAATCAAATAGCAGGCCAAGTAGTGCACATATGAGTTGGGATTACATAAGAAGGGAAACACAAAGGCAAACAGTGGATGAGCATCCAGAGCCTTGGGATTTGAACAGGCGGAATCAGAACGGAGAAGATCTAGGTGAGTAGAAGCGCATCACTCTAGAAGACGATTCGGCGGCTGATGTAAAATGGGGAGAGAGGGATCGGCGAGAGTTTTTGTTTATACCGTGACGGGTCGTTCCGGGAGCTTCATGCAGAAGACGCAGCTGAAGTTCTTGCCGAAGATCTCGAGGGCATCGTCGGCCGCTTCGTCATCGTCGTCGTCGGGGGCGTCGCCGGCGAGGAGGGCCTGGCGGCGGCGCGCCTTCTCCTGGTCGGAGAGGGTGTGGTCGGCCTCGATGGCGCGGATTTTGGCGACGAGGGTGTTGGCGGGGCCCGAGGGAGCGGGGTCGGCGGCGGCAGGGTCGGGGGAGCAGTCGGGGCAGCTCCAGCTGGCGGCGTCGGCGAGGGCGGGGGGCTTGGAGAGGCACGGGGAGTGCCAGGGCGTGGCGCAGGTGGAACAGCGGAGGAGGTCGACCTCCGTCGGGGAGGCGGCGCGGCAGACCATGCAGACGCCATCGCCGTCGCAGGGGAGGTCCGGCATGGCGGCGGCGGCGCTCAGGCTAGGGTTTCGCGGTCGGAACGGGGAATGATGGCGGATCGGTGGGGCGAGGAAATGGAAATGGAGGGAGGAGGGGTTTTGGTGTTGGTGGGGTAGTCGTAGTGGTGGCGGAGACTTGGGGTTCAAATTTTGGGTTTTGCCGTTGGGCGGGCACACCACTCCTTCCTTCCGGGCTTCCCTCCCAATTTCCCCCTCCCTCCATGGCGGGCGCCCACTTTGGACGGGAAGAGGTGGGACGGGCGGGTCCCACCCACAGGTGGATGCGGGTTTCTGTGTGCCACCGCCAGCGGGTCCCTTTTCCGACACGGGCCCACAGATCGGTGGCTGAGAAGTCGTAGCAGTCACCGTGAATCAAGGCTTTCGGGAAGGGAGCGCCAATGGGAAGAAGAAACCGTATGCGTATGGGCATGGCCAGTGGGCGGCTCCTATGGAATGACGCATTTGCCCCTGCGCCCGATTTGATTTGATTTGATTACTCCGACTTGGCCACGTTTAGTTTATCCCAAATTCTAAACTTTGGCACATTAAATTTGCGGTATATGTATGGAGTATTAAATGTTGACGAAATCAAAAACTAATTGTACAATTTGGTTGTACTTTGCGAGACGAACGTTTTGAGCCTAATTAGTCAACGATTGGACAATTATTACCAAATACAAACAAAAATGCTCCAGTGTGCTACATTAATGAACAGTGTTTTCGGCGGTGCCAATTCCACCGAACTAAACATGGCCTTGGAGAGCTGACGGAACGGGGGACCCTCTCCTGGTCTGCGCTCTAGCAACGAATAATACACTCTGTTTGTTTGGTCTGATTTGGTTTATAAGTCATGGCTGAAAGTATTATTGGTTGGTTTGGTGTGAGAAAAAATAATGTTCGTTGATTAATAAGCCATGGCTTATAAGCCAGATACGAGCAAACGAACATGCTAACAGTCGACCATACGTACCGTGTAAAGGAAACTAATTCAGGGCTAAATTAATTAGATTAGAGATATTTATTTTATGTAAAGAAAAGATATATAGAGATTAAGAAGCGCTAGTAGTATACATCTATATTAACGAAAGACAATATATTCACTGAAGATAAAAATAGGTACAAAATTGATCAGGTCAAAGAGGCGAGTCAAAGGTCTTGCATTCGAAACATTGCACAGCCTATGAACATTTCTTCTTCTTCTTTTTGAGTGGAGCGATGTACATAAACATTGTGCGGCAGAACGACTTCAATATTGTGGGCCTACCGGTCGTTAGGTCATTAGAAGTGTTTTGGTCGTTGAGAAGTTTGGGTTCTAATAAATGAGAACCAAGATTCTACGAAGGACAGTTAGTAGAAATGATATCCAAAATTTTGAAATCATTCGGTCCGGTTTATTTCAAACATCTATAAAAGATAACAATTTTGAGTGTGGCTTCAAAGTTTATACCTTGGAACTAAGCGCGATAAATACAAGCATGATCTGTTATTCAGATTTTAGAGGCCAAAGATAGAACCCTAATCTGTATCCCTAACTAAAATATAATCAGGATTGAACTAGAAACCCAAATAAAAATAATAATTCAGGTTATATGGGTTCTTAATGGGTTTGTTTTCGGTTCAAAGTTCCCACTAAGGTGGTAAGGCGAGGTGCGGCGAGCTACCCCTTCCAGACACCTAGGTGTTTAAGGCATAAGGCGAGACGACGCTATACAAACACCTTAATATATAATGTCACTAGAATTTAGAAGCAAATTAAACTTCAATACCACCATTTCTTAGCATGTAATACCATAATAAGTAGTGTTGAGTACTGGTGCACAACATAAAGTAGCAAAATAGCAAATCTACAATCTCACCTCCCAATAGCAGCAGATTAGACTAATGACATAACAAAGCAGCAAGCCAGCAAGTAATCCAGTATATACGCGCCGATCCAAGCAAAGGAAGGAGCAGACCACAACAAAGAACAGAGGAACGAGTGGGAGCATAGAACAGAGGAACGAGGGGGGATTGAAAAGATGTACTTATGCTGTGAATCGCTGGCCAAGAGGCGGAGCAAAGGAAGGAGTTGAGGCGGGATAATGTGCGGACATTGGAGTAGTCACAAATCAAAGAGTAGAGGGGTGGGGGCACAGATTGAGGCGGGCAGACGGCAGATCAAGGCGGGCTGGCGGCGGCGGCTTCTAGGTTCTCCCGCTGCCCTCTTCTCTCCCCCACTCTCCTGTCTCTCTCCCCCTCTCTCCTCTCTCAAATCACATGGAGTCTTGATGCAACGCTTGCGGGAGAGGTATAGATGCGCTGCGCGATTCCCTCCCGCGCGCGCGATTCCCTCCCATGCTCTCTTTTCGGCATGCGCGTTTCCCTCCCGCGAGCGACTCCCTCTCTTTCACGCGTGTAGTACCTTCTCCCACGCGTGCGGCGGCCGCCCGATGCCTCGACGCCTGAGGCGACGTCATACACGACAAAGTCGTGGCGAGCCCAAAGCCTCGGTTTAAAAACCACCCAGACGCCTAGGCGACGCCTTAATAACAAGGCCCATATCTTGATATTCTACAAGTTTCCCAATGATATTTGTAGACCTTTTAGGTGTCCTTACCGACCATAAAACAATCCTAGATGCATCTCTCCAATAGATCTTTTCTCGGGAGTTGTTTGTAGTTTTTCAAGAATGCCACATATGATAGAATGCAATAAAACGTTAATGAAATAACCACCCTCAATGCATACCTTGGTTCTAATATTGTACAAACATTTAATTCTATGACTTATTTAGAGTTTGAAATGAGTCAAGAGAGTCTCATCTATATGAATCTCGCTTATTCTCTCTCCTCTTAAAACGTTACCATGCTACTAGAAATGCTTATATGACAACCTGTTAAATACAAATGAAACTCATACTAAGTTTGGCATTATGCCGCTGTGACGACAGCCACCATGATGACGGCGCGAAAAGGAATGCGAGTGACCGAGACCTAAGGGGGCTAATTGGCATGAGGGGGGGGGATGAATCCGATATTCTAAAATTAATCCTAAACACTTTTGTTTATGGACAGGAGTATTTCTACCCATAAGAGTATCCCCTCAATAGTTCTAAGTGTAGAGCCTCAAAGGCTAGACGAGGGTTGCCTCTGTTCCCAATCATCCTAAAAATGCTTCCAATTATAGTAAAAACCCCAAATGTCTCGTACTTATGACTACCACATGAGACACATCCGTCAATTGTTTGTGATCTCAACTCCTGGCGGCATGCTGGCAACATGAGATCATTGGAGACAACACGTCGTATTTAGCATCACGGTGGCTATTGCTGGTGCTGTGAGTTGAAGATAATAAAGCTGTAGAGCAAGACACGACACTGGAAGGATGGGTCCAAGGCGTAGGAAGACGAAAATTAAGCTGACGATAGAGAAGGAGGAAGAGCGGTGGTGCGCCATGGATCGTAGGAAGAGGACAAGGCGAGGCAATTGTCGATCGCAGGGTGCTGACGGTTAACAACGGTGGTAGACGGCACGCACCTCGTCATGACGGGGTGACAAAATTTTTGCCACGTCACCAATCAACCATGAGTAGGGAGGAAGGGATTGATGGCTTTTGTATATGCCCAAAACAAACTTGCGGCCCAGTTACGAAAAGGCAGCCCAGCCCAGGTTCACCCTTGCACCTGCCTTCCGTTTCTTCTCGCCTTGCTTTCCCCTTCAGGCCTTCTTCCCTTCTTCATCTCTCTCTCTCTCTCTCTCGTTGCGACGCCTGCCTGGGCGACCGTCGCCGCACTACACCAGGCGCCCAGGTCTTCTTCGCCGGCTCCGAGCAGCCACAAGGTATGCGTATGCACACCCACCCCTTCTGTTCCCTTCGCTTCGCTTGCCTTCCTTCCCTTCCCTTCCCTTCCCTTCCCTTCCCTTCCTGCTGTGCGAAACCGAGCTCCCAAACCCTAACTTAAGCTATTTGCCTATTCCTATTCGGATCTGATCCAATCGCAACTCTATGCAGTATGCATCTAGCGTCATGCCTACTATTAACTTCGACTTCTTCTGCAAAAATTATCGGATGTGCACCCATGTCCTTTACTGGGTCCGCCCCTGCGCAGTGTGCATCTTGTCATGACCACCGACCACCGATGAATGTCTGCCTATCTGATCTTGTGTATCAAATATTTTTAGCTTATAATCTCATCATGTGTGGATGCATGGAACGGGTATTAAGTTTTTGCTGGAAGATTTTCTCATAAATGTCTTCTGCATATTAGTTCATTGCAAGCTGATGAATTGTGGAAACGAGGATCAGTAAGAGGCAGCTAGGCCTTCTGCTTTTAGTGCTGCTTGACATGTATTTTGTTGGACACGACCTGTTGTTTTGGGGCCGCACCATGGAAGTTTTATAAGTCTGTAGCACTAGGCTAGTACAAGTCTATGTTAATTTCTGTAGTTTGACCTGCAAAACAATTGATTCTGTCGGATTGATTGAGTTGATACCTCATTTATGCTTTCCTCTGTTCCTCTCTGAAATTTTGTTCTCAATCCAGCCGCTGCTCAACAATCATCTCTGTCAAGGGCATGGGCATGGACCACATGATGGGGCTTGGTGCCAGAGCCGCCCACCAGATCTCCAGGGCTGAACCAATGCCTGACCGAAGGTCAAGGTTTTGGCAGACGGATGTGCAGCCTGCGCCTCGTATAGACATCATCTGCCCTCTTCCTTGCCGCCCTTCCCGCCCACAGCTCCTCAATTGGCCCAGCCCCAATTCTAACGGGTTAGTTCTTTCTTCACTCTCCTCTATCCACCACGGACTTACATGCACCATACTGACATTGAATAAAAATTTGTTGAACCTGCCTCATAGTTTGCATATTCATGTATGCCTGCTGCCTGCATACATGCTACATTTTCAGCGCCAGCTGGTAGGCCATAGGTTTGCATATTTTTGTATGCCTGCATACTTGCTAGATTTTGAGCGCCAACTGGTAGGCCATATGCTGCATGTTTGTATGTACTTTCATCCTTGCTAGGTTTTGAGCGCCAATTGCTAGGGCTTAGGTTTGCATATTTTTGAATGCCTGCACACTTGCTAGATCTGGAAGGCCAATCGGTAGTCCGTCTCTTGCGTATGCTCCAAGTAAGGGCAGCAGAAATAGTATTATTGTTTCGCGCCAAATTTTTCATGCAATGTAATGTCATATGTTTCAAGAGATCTGTTCACATAAGCTTGGGGGCCGCAAGCTGAGCATTAACGGACAAAACAGATAGTGTTTCATGTGGCGACAAAACAGAAGTACTTCTGGGTGCAAGGATTTTGCGCATGACATTTACAAGCTTCCGTCAGCAACATGTGCATATAGCGGCAAAAAAAAAAGGCAATAGACGTTACTTAGTGTTACATGTGCTGTTCCATAAATTTGTTGATAGACAGATATCTGTTGCAATCACACTCGTCCACATTTATTAGCCAAACAGAAACGTCGAATGCGGTTACATGTACTACTTGGATAAGATTATGTGTTTTGCCTGCCACATTTCAGATCACTTCATAATGTTTTTTTCTGGGAATGCTCGAATTTCTCGATAATTGCTGTAGCCAAGCATATGACTGGTCCTTTTGCTGACACTGTTTGTGTTCTGCGATTGCAGGGCACTCCCATTGTATAGAGCAGACCCCACTTGTGATATCGTTGATCTCATCCTTAGCAAGGTATGCTGCCATATCAATGTTTTTTTGGTATTTAAGTAGGCTGTGCGTGTTGTATTGCAGCATGTTGTTCTTCTGGATTATGATGGCCAACTCTGTCTCTTCTTTCAGAATGACCCTGATGTGGATACTGATTCAAGCAGCCAGGTGGCCTTTTTCTGTGGCTCACCTCCTGCACGCACTGACAACCCTGTTATCAATGACCCACAGTTTGGAAAGAAAACACCATCCTTTTCTCCTTTAGGAAGCTCTTTCGGAAAAATGGCAGCTGGAAGAGTTGAAGTAGGTTCTCCGACCTGCGGGGCCAGCAGCCCGAAAGTAAGAATCGAAGGTTTTGCTTGCGGGAACAAAGAGCCCCCTCACTGTGCAGTTACATTTGCCTGATGATCCGCATTGACCCTACCTAACCCTGTTTTGCTACCCCGCAACCTGTACATTTTCGCTGCCCAGCTGAGGATATAACTAGTTTCTTTCGTTATATAAGATGCTAGCTGCTCATTGAAGAGTCAAGTCAGAGTCGAGTCAGAGCGTTTGGTGCCCCTTGTGATTGTGGCTTTTGAAACTGCATGATCGAAGGGAGCATAGCTCTCGGATGTAAATATAGATGGAGGTGTCCGGTGTATGTACTAGATGTTGTATGTGTCTGCTAAATGTAGTAAGGTTGGATGGGTCCATATGTCGGTGTCTGTAAATACCGTCATGCATTTGGATGTAAATTGAAATGCATCTTCAGTTATGTTGCCATGCTGTTCATTGTCACTTGCGAGGCTTCTGAGGATGCTGCAAGAATGGTACTCTCTCTGTTCTAAATTACAAGTCGTTCCGACTTCTCTAGACACCTAGAAAAGCCTAAACGGCTTGTAATTTGGAATGGAGGGAGTAGTAGCAGCTTGAAAGCGGGTGGTCTTCTTATTAGTCGTTTTCTGTCGTGCCGCTCATTTTGACGATGCTGTAGCAATCGTTATTTGATTTATTTATTATCTATTTCTTGGTGATATGCACAAAAGCATGCGTATCTGATGCCGTAAGCTTTGGGATGGAAGAATCTGTTGGTTATTGGTACTGTCCACGGATCATGTTGGAATCCTTCACGTATGTGCAACCGGGAACAGAGCATTTGCAACAATTATCCCAAACTGGAGTCCTTCACGTATGTGCAGCCGAGAACAGAGCATCTGAAACAATTATTCAGAGTAGTTTATACGAATGAAGCAATTATTCAGAGTAAATTATACAAATGAAGTGGTCGAATGACATGTTATGTTAACTATACAACACCAAACTATACAACTAAATCTGACGGAGTCAGTTAAACTAAGGTGCGTGGATGAAATCAAATCGATGAACTGTACAATTGAATGGAATGAAATCCAAGCTAGGAATGAATGGAATGAATCCAATTAGCTAGTCGATGAATCTTCAGTCTGTTGGTTGTAGTAATAGTGTGCATGGTCGCTGAGCTACAGCTAGGAAAAAGACAGATTTGAGCCGAAACAATAATAATTCGGCAACTCAATCTTCTTCTCCGTAGCTAGCTAATAAGCATCCGTCATCATCGATCATCCAAAGAAGAAAGAAAGACGGATCCCTCATCTGAGGATGGCCCTGGAGTGCCTGAGGATCATGTGGAAGGGCGTCGTCGCTGCAGTCGCCGTCACCGGGCGCCTGCTTGTGCTAGTACTCAATGGAGCAGCAGCAGCTTGCTGGGCGACGGCCCTCGGCACCACCTTGCCCAGGCTATTCCGCTTGCCGCAGGGGGTGGGGGTTGCCGTAGGCGCAGGTGCAGTTGCTGGTGCTGCCGGGCGTGGCGGCGCTTGGTGGCGCACAGGAGTAAACGGCAGCTTGGTCTGCGACAAGACGCCGGTCCGGTGGTGCTGCACATGTTTAGGCGGCGCCGTCGTAGAAGAGGAGGACGAGGTGACGGTGATCGTCGCCGGTGCCGCTGTGGTGACGGTGGCGCGGTGCGCCGCCATCCTCCTGGTGACCGCGGCGCCATCGGCTTGGCGAGCCTGCTGCGTGCGTAGGACGTCGGGCAGGCTGGACTCGAGCAGCAGGACGGTGGCGCAGTGCTTGAGCACCTCGAGGTTCATGCGCGCGTCGTCCAGGCTCCTGTGCTTCTGCTTGCCGATGCCGAAGTAGGTGGCGAGCGTGGCCATCTTGAGGTCCCCCGCGCGGCGGCCGAACTCCGCGGCCAGGACGTTGAGGGAGTCGATGACGCCGGCGGGCTCGGGGGCGGGGCGGCCGATGTCGGCGAAGGCCTCGCGGATGCGGGGGCAGTCGAAGCGCTGGATGTTGTGCCCAGCCCACACGCGGCCTGGATAGGATGTTGTTGCAGTTGCAGCCAGAGCCAGGCAGGAGTTCCATATTTATATTAGTAATTCCATCATCTCATCGATCAGGCAGCTCATTAAGAATGCATGCATATGTAGCACCAATGCAATGCATGCAACAAGAAAGAAACGTACTTACGTACCGTCCAGGATGTCGAATATCTTGTCGGCCACGTCCTTGAAGGGCGGCGCCGCCGCGATGGCCTCGACGTCCGTGAATCGCCTGGTGACGGCGACGGAGAGGTCGCCCGGGCGGATGAGGGTGTCGTAGCTGCCCACCTCCACCAGCTTCCTGGGGCACACCAGGATGGCGCCGAACTCCAGCAGCCACCACCGCCCCGCCGCCGACGGAGCCGTCGTCTCTACGTCGAAGAAGACGATCTCTCTCATCGCACCTGTCGTCATGTCGATGGATTGATTGCTGGCTGCGTGCTAGCTGCTGCTTCCTAGCTCGATCGATCGATCGATCTTATTCTCGATCGATGAACGAATTGAATGTTCTATCTCTTATTCTTCCTCCTCCTGCTGGTCTGTCCTGGATCGATCGAGTTTGGGACGCAATAATCAAGCAACAAGTGCTTTGTTAGAGCACGTTTCCCTGTAGCTGCTAGCTAGGAATGGAATTCAATGCAACGGAAGCTACGAAGAAGAGGAGGAAGAAGAAGAAGCTAAAGCTGTACATCAATGTCTGATGCTCTGGCGGCAAAGCAGATCGATGCGATGCTGTATATATATATCATGTTTATGTAGTACTACTTGCCGTTAATGGACGGACGGACGTATAGATAGATAGAAGGACAAGCATATGTCGTTTATTCCTTGCGGGTCCGACCGGAATTGCTCGCTCGATGGATGGCTTCATATGTTGGGAACGAACGACGTGTGCTTGCGTACGTCTCGGCCGCTACTATTCATTCCTTCCAATTAACCGGCCGGCCGGGGGCAAGCAAAGCTAAGGAACTGCTAGCCCCACAGGGTACGCAACCAAATGCTGCAATGCAATACAATAAGCAACCGGGGCAGAAGCGTCTGTTCGTCTGGCTGAAAAAACGACGGATACTGATGCTGATTTATTGTGAGAGAAAAATACTGCTATTTTATTAAAATGGTACGGCTGATAAGTTCGAGCAAACATGGCAATACAGCGCAGGTCGTTAACGGATCGGTAGTAACTTGCACCATATAGCATTCAGCTGCAAATTAACATGTCTCAATCTCAACATATATATATATATATATATATATATATATATATATATATATATCCATTCATCCAGAGATTCGAATGCAGGCTGCTAAGCTACTTTGTGGGATTGATAGTAAAAGGTGTTCTCTTGCTTCCCTCTTTCCTCCATGCAAAGCAGAGCACTGCAAATTTAAATGTGTAACGCAAGCGTCACCTGGCTGCTGGTTGCTTCTCTTCCGTGCGTGCATGGGTCGCCATTCTACACACGCACCAACTAACTTAACTGCCACAGACACAACGGAGAGATAGAATATTCTCGCTCCAAGCTAGTAGCTTACCTTCCCATCCGCGTTACCTACTATTAATTAGTAGTTTCTTTGCTATATATATACTTTAAATCTTAGTACGCGATAAAAGAGCCCATACTTTTTAATATATTACTAAAATACTACTGTAGTAGTACTTAAAAAAAAGTATAACCATATACTATATGTATACTTGCATACTTGACATACATACTATCCTAGATGGTTTAGTATGATCATATACTCTGTCTATTCTCAGGGAGTAGTTACTCTCATGGCCCGACGAAGTGTATGTAGATGGAATATATCATCATATTAGACCATCTATAGTACTATATATGATAAGTATGTATGTATACTTAGAGTATATGGTTATACTTATTTTATATGCTACTATCATAATATTATATAATATATTAAAAATATGTGCTCTTTGAAAAAAAAATTAACATAATAAAGATATAGAGTATCTTAATATTAGTATGTCAACATAATCAAACTAATAAATGAGTATGTACAACTACGCAACATGATTTATTGATTATGAAAATAACTACTCCCGGGAGTATATAAAATGCACCCCCACCACACACACACACACATATATATATATATATATATATATATTGCATTGTTCTTCTGCTCTGCTAGCTTATATATATCCTAATAATTTGCGAGGCTGCACTTTATTTGCCACACCCTATCCACCACCTCCAAGATTCAGACATTCTTAGACCCTAGCTAAGCAGAATTTTATTTAAATAATAAAGCTACAGCCGTGGAAACACACACAACGTATAATAGGCGGATGCCACTACAATTTCTACGTGTTGGAAGTCCACTGCAACTATATATTCACCTATTTGTCACCGTGTGCCATCACAATATATATGCATAAAATTGCATCCATGCCGCGTTGTATGCCTCCACTGCCACGGTGCTTTGCCACCTCCTCTTTACCTTGGGGGCGCACTGCGATCTTGGCTCATTCTTGCCTCCGCTGCCCTTGTCGTCTGACTCGCACTATCGATGCCTTTGACGACCTCTCCATCGAGAGCAACAAAGAATGCTTTGGATTCTGATGCCTCTGACTTAGGGGAACATATTTAGACGATGCCACCGGCATTACTACATAAAAACTTATGCGAGGCGTTTGGGAATGGGCCTCGAAGGCGGTGAAATTTCAACCGCCTCGGTTAATGCCTGGATTAACCAAGGCTGGCATTTTATTAACCGAGACGGTCATAATCAACCGCTTCGCAAAATCGATTTACGGAGGCGGTTAAAATCTATTAACCGAGGCGGGCCCCCATTTTCGGTGGCGGGCCTCTTATAAGGCCCGTCTCGGTTAATATGGCCAAGCCCACCAGTAAGCCCACTAAGCCCAGAAATTAGGTCACACTATATAATGAAATGAAACGTTAAATCCACACTCTCTCCCTTACCTGTCTATCTCCCAGCCGCACTCTCCACCGAGCGTTGGAGACTCAACCGCGCCCTCCCTTCCCCTCCCGATTCCGGCGACGCCCCACCTCTCACCCACGCCCTCCATTCCCCTCCTCTCACCCGCACCCTCCCTTCCCCTCCCGGCGGTGCCCCTCCTCTGCCCCTCCCAGCGCCCCTCCCCCACTGCCGCAGCCCTCTCTCTCTCACTCCCTCTCCCTCTGTCTCTCACACTCCACAGGCATGGGCGCGTGGGCGGCGCAACTCCCATCTCTGCTCCCCTCCCGGCGCGGGTGCGGGCGCGGCCTCAGCGGCGACGATTACCAGGTAGGCTCGCCCCCTCCTCCAGCGCCGGCGGCGCGCAGGCCCGGTCCCCTCCTCCAGTGCGGCGGCAGATTTGGCGAGCGGGCCTCTCCAGCGGCTCCGGGCGGGGTCTGCGCGCCCCGGCGGATCTTGCGGCGATGGTGGCTCTGTGAAGGCCGGATCTGGTGGCGGGGAGGCCGGATCAGGTGGTGGGGAGGCTAGATCCTGTGAGCGACAGCGGTGGCGCGTGGATGGGTTCGGCAGGCCTATCCACGAATTTTTTTTATTAACTGAGGCGGGCAACTGGTCCGCCTTGGTAAATCAGTGATTTACCGTGACCTTGTGTTCGAGGCGGACGGGTTGCCCGCCTCGGTACACCCTTTTTGCCCGCCTCGGTTATGATTATCGTAGTAGTGCGACAGCGATAGTTAGAAGAGGCGACATGTCATATCTCAAACAACATGGAGATGAAGGCTGTGAGGCTATTCAGAAAGCCATGGACCAAGTGTTGCTGCCTTGGCACCTTCCACCTTCCACAAGGTGCTTCATGTATGAGCTCCTACACACCCAGGTACTCCACTGAGTTTTTTCTGTCTCGCATGTGCCACACTCATTGACCAGTCCCTTCATGCTAGATCGCCAACAAGCGCTAATAGACCGCTGTCATGGAGCATGCGTAGCACACATCAACGGCTTGGGAAACCTTGACCCATCCAATGTCAATTCCATCATCGCCGTGCTCAGTGACGTACAACACCATGATCAGTTCATCATGATGTCGGAGACCTAGCGCATCACCTATAAGGATGTCCTATGGCTCATGCTACCATGGGATTATTGGAGCTTGTTTCAATCCATATTTTGTTCCTCCTATATATGTCTCCACCAAGCACAAGTTGTTTCTCTTCGATTTGATCCATCGCCACTAAGGTTGATGTTGTTCGCACCCGAAATTAACAAGACCTAAGCTTTCTCAGAAAATGGCCAAGATGGTTTTGGAAACTTTATCCAATTGCATAACTCTCTTGAGATGAGAAAAATACATATGTGGAACGCCAAATTTGGATTCTAGACGAAGTAGCAATGTCCATTTGAAGATCCACCATTGAGAAATGAAACTGTTTAGGCCAATTCCAAAACCTAACTGTCGGTGCAGAAAGTGACCAACACGTAAATATTTATAGTTTTGCCATACGTTGTGATTGGAGGTGGCCTAGAACTCAATGACATAGGGTTTATATTAGTTTAGGCAACGTGCCCTACATCCAGTTTGAGTCGATCGGTGACTTTATTCCTGTGCCTAGGTGCTCGAAGTTTGCAGTGGGGTTACAAACAAGAAGGAGAAGGATGGGGGGTACAAGAGGTCCGGTTGGACTCCTGCCGGAAGGGCCGAGAGTGACAGAAGCCCCGCTATGAACTAAGTGTTCGAGCGTGTGCTCATGGTTCGAACCCGGTGGTTCTATGCCTGTGAACTTTTATCGATCTAATGAATCTGGAATGACTTGAATCTATCAACCTATCTGTTGGGAGAGAGCGCATCCCCTTTTATAGATAAAGGGATGTCTTTACAAGTGAGAGGGAGAGAGTACGTATGCTTCTAAGTCTTGCTACCCACGACGGCGGGTACGGGACGATTGTAGGTGCCCACAACACTATTGATGTCACTGTTGAATGTCAGATGCATATGGGAGGTCTGTGTTATCTTCTTCGGGTATGACAGACGTCGGCACCTATCATACTGTTGATGCCTAGAGGCATGTGAGGGCTTTTACCATGTTCTCCTGGTACGGTAAAAGTCAGCGCCCACAACACTGTTGATGCCCAGAGGCACAGGGGGCCGTATCGTATGGGAGTTAATGGCGCCCACAATACTGTAGGGGAAAATGCCGGCGCCTACAACACTGTTCAGGCTATGTTGTGTCAGGGGAGTACTGTTTCTGCAGGTGTATAGGGTATGGTCCCTGGTGTCGTGGCTTTGACTTGTGTGCCCTATCTTGCTTTCTCCGTTTATTCCCTGGTCCTTTCCAAGCGGGCATCCCCGGTCGGTTGGTTCCAGTCGGCTCTGATCGTGTCAGTCGGAGAAGAGTAGTGAGCAGGGGTTTGCCGCATCCTAGGTCTGAGACATGGGTCGTAGTCGGAACCATCGTTCGGCCAGGCCTTCCGGTCGG